ACATACTTATAGCCATTTGATACTTGACAAAGTTGGCAAAATATATGTTGGAGAAAAGAGCCTTTAAGACAAATAGTTCTGGGAAAACTGAATATCCATAGATAGAAGAATGAAATTAGATCCATGTCTCACCCTGCAATTCAAAATGAATCAGACTTAGGAACTAGACCAAAAGCCTTGCAACTGTTAGGAAAAAAAACATACTCAACACTCCATCATATAGGTATAGGCACCGACTTTCTTAACAAGACCCGTAAAACTCAAGAAATAAAATCAAGAATCAATAAGTGTGATATCATCAAATTAAAAAGCTTTTGCACAGTGAAGGAAACCCATCAAGAGAATGAAGAGAGAGCCTACAGAATAGGAAAAAACTTTTGCCAGCTACTCCTGTGACAGGGAATTAATATCCAGAATATATAAAGAACTCATAAAATTCAATTGCCAAAAAAGCAGATAACCCAATCAATAAATGGCAAAAGAACTAAACAGAAAATTCTCAAAAGAAGAAAAACAAATGGCCAACAAATATATGTAAAAATGTTTAACATCTTTAGCAATTCGGGAAGTGCATATCAAAGCTACATTAAGATTTTATCTCACTCCAGTCAGAATGGCAATTATAAAGAATATAAATAATAATAAATGCTGGTGAAGGTGTGGGGGGGAAGTACACTTATACATTGTTGGTGGGACTGCAAAATTAATACAACCACTTTGGAAAGTAGTGTGGAGGTTCCTCAGAAAACTGAGACTGGAAACATCATATGACCCAGTCATCCCACTCCTTAGCATTTATCCAAAAGAACTAAAATCAGCATACTGTAATGATACATCCACCTCAGTATGTATAGCAGCACAGTTCACAATAGCCAAATTATGGAATCAGTCCAGATGCCCATCAATATATGAGTGGATAAAAAAAATATAGCATATATACACTAAGGAGTTTTACTTAGCCAAAAAGAAGAATGAAATAATGATATTTGCCAGTAAATGGATGGAAAAGGAGAAAACCATGCCAAATAAGTCAGACTCAGAAAATCCAGGGTCAGATGTTTCTCTCATGTAGAAGATAGAGCGAAATAAGGGGAAAAAAAAAACAATGGAGGAGGGAATTGGGTATCATAAAGATAAAGGGAAGATCAGTGGAGTAGAAGTAGGAGAATGAGAGGGAGCAAGGAAGGGAAAGGGAAAGAAACACAGAATGAATTTAACAAAGTCATGTTATATTCATATATAAATGGACCAAAGGGAATTTTACTTTTATGTATGTGCTGAAAGTACCAATCAAAAATAAATAAAGAAGGGGCTGAAGTTGTGGCTCAGCAGTAGAGTCTTGCCTAGCACGTGTGGAGTGCTGGGAAATAAATAAATAAATAAACAAACAAACAAATAAATAAATAAACAAGCAAAAGGATGATCAGTAGAGTAGGTGGAGAATAGGGAGAGGGAGAATAGGAGGAAAAAGAGAGGAATAGGGACTGAAATCAAATTCCTTATATGTGTAATTTTGTAAAATTGAACCCATATACTATGTATGATTTTAATGGTATAAATAAAATATAAAATAAAAATAAAATGGGCTGGGGTTGTGGTTCAGTGGTGGAGTGCTTGCCTAGCATGTGTGAGGCACTGGGTTTGATCCCTGGCACCACATAAAAATAAACAAATAAAATAAGGGTATTTTGTCCATCTACAACTAAAAAATATTTTTAAAAATAAAATAGAGGACTTCAGAAAGCTATTTAACATATTAGAAACTTAAACCTACAATTTCTTTAAAAGTATATTGATTCATTTTAAAATAACATTAATAAACCCATTATTGGGCTGTGTCTGTGGCCCAGCGGTAGCGCACTTGCCTGGCATGTGTGAGACACTGGGTTCGATTCTCAACACCACATATAAACAAATAAATAAAGGTCTATAAACAAGTTTAAAAAAATTAAAAAAAATAAAAATAAACCCATTACATGTAGAAATGATCTTAAAGTTTAAATATTTTTTAAAAAGAAATTACTATTTATGAAAAATAACTTTTTAAAAAAATTTAATGAGAAGGGTGACATCATTTTGCATCTTTGTAAATCTCTTTAATGTCTGCTTCAGTAGAAGTAGACATCTTCTTTATTGAATCTCTACAACATGTTTTTTTTTAATTATACTTTTATTTATTTATTTATTGGTATGTGGTGCTGAAGATTGAACCCAGTGCCTCACACATGCTAGGCAAGCACTCTACCACTGAGCCACAACCCCAGCCCTCTACAACATGTTTTTTAGGTTGAAGAAAGTCCAGTCTCACACAGATATATAGTTGGGAAAGGGTAGAAGTATGTAATAGCCTTTTCAAATAATTGTGAATATTCTTTGATACTATATCTTGACAAGTGGCAATTTCTTAAAGGTCCCTTGGGATATGGAACTTTGTTATCTGTAAACCAATGGATTTTTCGGGGGGAGGCTCTAGATTTCATACAGACCACCTCTTTCTCATCTCTGATCCCCCACATCTCTTCTTCCACATCTTACCTATTTTCAGCCTTAGCTCTAGGATTTAACTCAGTTTATCACCTCCAATGGAAGAAAAGACTCATTTGTCTTCCTCGGTACTCTGCTAGGCCCCTTTCTGGAGTCAGGAGGTAGGGCTTGCTCTCCCATAGCCTTCTCCACGTTAGCTAGTGGAAACTCCCTCCTTTTGATTCTCAAACCAAAAATGGTGGCATTTTCTTTTTTGACTGCTGTCCTGTCACATATCCAATCTGTCAATAGATCTTATTGGTTTAAGCTTCAAAATAGATCCAGAATTCAGCCACTTATGATCTCCCTCATTATCACCTCATCCAAGCCACCATCATCTCTCCCTGCATTATTGCATCAGCCTCCTACCAGGACTCCCTGCATCCACCTTCGCTCCCTATTGTCAAGGGAGTGATCCATTAAGAAGACACACATCAGGTCACTCATATTCACAATCTTTATCCCCTTTAAAAAAAAAAAAAATCTACTGGCTGGGGATGTAACTCAGTAGTAGATCCCTTGTCTGGTGTGCCCATGGCCCTGTGTTCAATCTTCTGCATCACCCCCACATTCCCCCGCAAAAAAAAAAAAAAAGTTTTGATGCTTATCATGATCTACAAGATTATATATCTACTTGACTGAATCTGATTCCCACCTCAATTGAATCATGTACCCTCTTACTTTTCAGTCACAGTGCCTTATTTTGAGGGTTCTTGAATCTACAAAGAACTTCAGTGTCTCAAAGCCTTTTATACTGTTAACCTCTTCCTGCTAAGTTCTTTTTCACTTAGGGCTTTTCTTACTCAGAGCTTCATTTAGTAGAATAATGACTCCCCGCTGCCATGTACCAATACTGGTGACTGAACCCAGGGGCACTCTATCACTGAGCTACATCCCAGCCCTTTTATTTTTAAAATTTTTAAAGTTTGAGACACTAAGTTGACCAGGTTAGCTTCAAATTTGTGCCCAGCTAGACCGGTGAATTTTAATCTCTTTTCTTTTAAACAGATTTTTTTTTTTTAACCTATGTATGATTGTATAACACCGTACAATGGTGATTTGGAAAATACAGTTTCATGAAAAGACAGATTTTCCAAATGTGTTAATGTAGTTCATTGTGTGTGTGTGTGTGTGTGTGTATTTTTTTTTTTTGCGGGGGGTGGGGTATACCAGGGAGTGAACTCAGGGGTGCTTAACCACTGAGCTACATCCTCAGCCCTTTTTTATTTTGAGATAGGGCCTCACTAAGTTGCTGAGGCTAGCCTCAAACTTGCAATCCTCCTGCCACAGCCTCCCAAATCTTTGGGATTACACATGTGTGCCATTACACTCAGCCATTGTATGATATTTTTAAATTACATCTATTAATATTAATATCTATCTCATCAGAAAAATCTTTATTGCAAAGCTTTCAAGCTCATATAGCAGATACAAGTTCTCCAGAATTCCAATTTTTAATGGAAAGCTTGAATTTCATCATTGTCAGCAAATACTATCAATTGTTTTCTTGAAGTGATATACTCATTTCATTCATGTTCAAGATGTCTGACAAATATCTAAGTCTAAATAATCACAGCTCTTTGTATAAAATGGTATTTTTGCTGGGCGTGGAGGCATATACCTATAATCCCAGCAACTTGGAGGCTGAGGCAGGGGGATTGCAAGTTTGAGGCCAGCCTCAGCAACTTGTCAAGGTCCTGAACAATTTAGTGAGATCCCATATTAAAATAAAAATCTTAAGAAAAGGGGCTGGGGATGTAGCTCAGTGATAGAGTCTCCTAGGTTTAATCCCCCAGCCCCAGAAAAAAAGGTATCAGAGAAAGCTTTACTACTCACAAACAATGCAGAAGGCTATATATAGTATTATGAAAACAATTTTGATTGTGTTCATAATACTTTCAGATCCCTGAAAGAATTTCAAAGACCCTCAAGGGTCCACAGCTTTAGGAATCACTGTTTTAGTCCAGTTATTAATTTTGCATTTGATGAGGTCTGAAACTGAAAAAGAGTGGGTAGTTAACCCAAAGCCATTCCTTAATGACAGAGCTGGAGTTGGATTCCAGGGATTCTGACTCCTAAGCCAACACTCTTTCTAATGTTCAGAACATTCAACTATATAAAGAAAAAAAAAAGTCAAACCTCTGCCCAACTATTGTGCATTTTAAAATATGCATTATTACCAAAAATACTCTAAATCTATTTTGGAACATCATGTAAAACTATATGAGCTTTTTGTGTACTTGGAATAGTTGCAAAAAGTTAAAAGCAATATTATCTAAGAAGAAATTGTAGTAAAACTGTAGATTTCAATTAAACATTCAGGGCTGGGGCTGTGGTTCAGTGGCAGAGCACTTGCATCGCACATGTGAGGCACTGGGTTTGACCTCAGCACCACATAAAAATAAATAAACAGAAATATTTTAAAAAATTAAACATATACATAAAACTCCTAAAAGGTTTTTTTTTTTTTTTAACAGCTAATGAAAATAGGTTCTGATGTTGAACTGTTGCTCAGAACATCTGTTATACAAGGCATTCACACAGACCACAATACCCTGAGTAAGTAAAAAAAAAAAAATTCTGACTGCAATGTGTTTTGAAATATTGAATGTTATAACACTTTTATTTGTTTGTTTGTTTGCTTTTATTTTAAAAGATGGGGTCTTGCTATTTGTTCAGGCTGTACTCAAATTCCTGGGCCCTTGTAATCCTCCTGCCTTAACCTCTTGAGTAGCTGGGCCAACAAGCATGTGCCACCATACCTCACATTACCTCTTAATTACAGCACTTTTAATGTTAATAAGTAAAACTGCTTGATTTTGCCAGGCACTACAATATTTATTGTATGCATTTATAAGGTAGTCTAAAAATGCCGAATTATGAAACTTTGTTATACCAGATTTCATTTTAATTTTTAAATTTATACCCTGATTATATTTGTAAAACTGTAGTTACAAAAACATTACTACTATTTTCATCATATTTATTTGGGATTCTTAATTTTTCTAGGCTCATGTATCACTTACCTAGACTAAATCTAATTTTTACCTTTTATTCTGTAATTATTTTAATTCAGAAGAATTGGGATTATAGGAAATGGAAATATAATTAAGAATTCTCCATCATACCTTGAGACTCTTTATGGGATCCAGTAGAATCTCATTTCACATTATATATTGTTTTCACTCCCTGAAATATTTTGGGGGATAATAGCAACAAAAAACAATGACATTGAAAATCATTGCTTTTAGGGGGCTGGGGTTGTGGCTCAGAGGTAGAGTGCTCGTGGAGCATGCGTGAGGCACTGGGTTCAATCCTTAGCACCACATAAAAATAAAATAAAGATAAATGTTAAAAAAAAAAAAAGAAAAGAAAATCATTGCTTTTAAAGTTCTTCTTTGGGTGGGGGGGGGGGGAAACTGGAGATATAACTCAGGGGTGCACTTGACCACTGAGCCACATCCTCAGCCAAAATCATTGCTTTTAAATAGACTATTGGAAATATACAGAAAAGTACACAATATATAATTGTACAACTCATTGAATTTTCACCAAGTGAAAGACCTAACATCCACATCAAGTTGTATATTACCAGCATCCCCAAAGTCTCTTCATATCCTCATGTTTTTTCTAGTAACCTTCTTCCCACAATAGTAGCCATTATCCTGACTTTCAACACCATAGTTTGTTGGGTTTTTTTTTTTTTTTGTATGGGGGTTATTGAACCCAGGGGCGCTCAACCACTGAGCCACATCCCCAGCCCTTTTTTGTATTTTATTTAGAGACAGGGTCTCACTGAGTTGTTTACCAGCTTGCTAAGTTGCTGAGGCCAGCTTTGAACTTGCTATCCTCCTATGTCAGCCTCCTGAGGCACTGGGCATGCACCACTGTGCCTGCCATGTTTTTTTTTTTTTTTTTCCTCCTTTATTCTGTAGGTTCAAAATGGAACAGATTTGATTCCATTAAGTTATGTTAGGCAAATTCCTCTGAATATTTTACCAGTGTCTACCCTGCATATAAAAATGAGAAATAAAATTCTGCTTCTTGTTTAGAAAATTGAGAATTGTGATTATGAGTCTCTCTAGATGTGTATGTATATACATCTATATATCTCAACATGAAGGTAATAGAGAGTGAAAATAATAAAATGAAACTGCATTTTTACAATTGTGCATGAATTCTAAATTTATCTTTTCCTTCCATTCTAAATATTATCTGTACTGAAAATTAAATATTGAATTTCACTCAGCAAGAACTCCTTATCTTATATAATTTGTAATTTTTTTCCTTTTTAAAAACTAACTTCCTTTATCATGGTGTGTGATTTCAAAGTTCTTTATTATAGACATGACAATTTAATCATTTTGGGAAAATTTTCTTATTTTGAAAAAATCTTTTAAAAATGTTGTGGAAACTGCTTATTTTCCCCAAGTACTGGCTAGTTTTTGTGATTTTTTTTTCTGTATCATCTTAATTGCATGAATTTGAATTAATCATAACATTTGATTCATACCATTCTTATCATTGGTCGCAGAGCCTTTAACTATGACTTAGAAAAATACTGAAATTAACTCATTGTTCCACAATTGCTTTCTCTTTGATTATTGACATAACATGGATATTAGTCAAATGGTTTTAGAATTGACCTTTATCTATCATACATTCTATAGATAGTTACCAAATTTATGCATAAAAATTGTATCAAGAAAACTCAGAACTTCATGTGACTATATATTAATGGTATATAGTTTTGTTTTTGTTTTTGTTTGTGGTACTGGGGATTGAACCCAGGGCCCTGTGCATGCGAGGCAAGTACTCTACCAACTGAGCTATATCCCCAGCTCCTGGTATATAGTTTTTGAATAGGATCATCCATAGTTTTTAACTTCTTCTGTGGCATATATGTAAGACAAACAAAATGGGAATGTGCTTTGAAAATTGGTGTGATACATTTTTTTCAAATGCACTAGAAGCCAGACACAGTGGACCATGCCTGTAATGTGACTTAGGAGGCTGAGGCAGGAGGATTGCAAGTTCAAAGCCAGCCTCAGCAACTTAGCAAGGCTTTAAGCAACTTTTTTATTTTGAGACCCTGTGTCAAAATAAAAAACAAATAAAATGGGCTGGGGAAGTGACTCAGTGGTAGAGCACTCCTGGGATAAATCCCCAGTACCACACACACAAAAAAAAAAGCAATCTTTTTTCAAATGTGTTTTTAAATTTCTGCCTTTTCATTTATTTACATTTGTCATTACCTACAACTATCTTAGAATTTGTATTTAAAGGCAAATTAATGTGATTCAGTAAACACTTATTGAATATTCTTTGTGCTGGGCACTAGAATTTATGGAGAATGCTCTTAAATGTTCCTTCAGTCCTTCAATGCTGTAAGAGAGGCACATAAGCAGATCCCCATATGCAAGGATAGATTCTTGGAAGAAAACACTTAGTTTTCTAAAGTTCTCTAACTTCTTTTTTAAATATTATTTTTTATTGTTGTTTATTTTTTATGTGGTGATGGGGATTGCACTTAGGGCCTTATGCATGCTGGGCGGGTGCTTTACCACTGAGCTGTCTCCCCAGCGCCCCCGCCTTTTTTTAAAAAATATTTTTAGTTGTAGATGGACACAATACTTTTATTTATTTACTTATTTTATGTGGGTGCTCAGGATCGAATCTGGTGCCTCACACATGCAAGACAAGTGCTCCACCATTGAGCTACAATCCCAGCCTCTAATTTCAACTTATCATTTATATTTATGTTCTTGATATATTTAGCAACATTTCTGTAACTTCAGAGTTAAATATTTTAACATCTTATAAATTATTGATATCCAAAGTGTCTCTCTGATTGCCATACTCTTATAAACTATGCTACTCATAATAGATTTTTTTAAAAACTCCTGCCCTTAATTTTGATTTTGGTTTATAATTGAGCTAAAGCCTTTTTATTTCAAAAGAAGTACTTTGTAAATTATGCATATAATATGACCAGAGTAGATAAGGCTTTCAGGGTCCTATAAAGTACAGGAAATAAACCATGATCTCAGTGCAGTTCCTTATCAAAGATCTGACAATGTCAAATAGATTCATGTGGTTAATAGTATTTGGCATCTAACATAGAGAGCAAAGTCAGAGATTTTACAATCAATAAAATAAAATTATAGAAAAATAGTATATACTATGTAAATACACCTGTGGTATGTTTGGCCTAATTAAAGTGTTAGCAGTTAATGAATACAGAAAAATTCAATTATAGAGTATCCTTTGATTCCAAAGATCACACAATAAGAAGAATTGAGTGAAGGGATAGAGTAGTGGATATTCGAGAGGCTTTCTGGTTATTTACCACTCTTTGAATGTCTTCCTTTGTCTTAGGAATTTTCATCTGCATAAGTTCTAGATCCTCAAGATAGAATAAAGAAAATTCAGTTCCTCAGTTTCCTTTGCATTTCTGACACAAGCATTTGATATAGATAGCTCACACCTTATCCATGTTCAGCAGTGGACTTGAGGGGCTAGCGGTGTAGTTCAGAGACAGAAGATTTGCCTCATATGCATGAGGCCCTTGGTTCAATCCCCAACAAACAAACAGAAGAAATGACCTTGAGGGCAGAGGCTTGGCACAGATCTCTTTTACTGGCAGGAATAGCATTAGTGGTTATAGGATCAGGTCCTCATGGGAAAGTGGCATGGATTTGGTGGCAGGGGAGATATAGGAATGTTGTTTCTGGCAGCATCTGAAGTATAGCACATTGTGTTTCATAAGGTTAAAAATGGTGGCAGTTTCTTCTAGTGCTCCATTGGAGTGGCAGTTTTTAATCATTAGGCCAGTTCTAGGGTATGGTTTTGCTGTTTTTCTGAAAACAGTCTCAAACCTGTCAGATTCTTTAGCCCTCACAACAATGCCATGAATAGATGAAAAACCTATTAATAATGTGTGTTTTTTTTTTTTTTTCTTGCTTAATCAGTCCTAGTCCACATGTGTTTAAAACCAACAGAAGTTTTCTCAAGAAGTGAGGTACTGAAGATTACACAACTTAAAATGTGAAAGTAGAGAGTGAAAAGTAAGGGTAGAAGAGAGTATGATTATCATGGACCTGACCACTATAGGCTTTAAGTTTGTGACCCATATAGTGGTAAAACATAAGGTCAGGGCCTCTTTCTATTTCTTAGGACACAAACCAAGTACTACCTGAGGCTACAGCTAAGAGAAATTGCCAGAATGTCAGTACATGCTGGTTAGTTCTTCCTGCTTTCAACAAGGTACTGAAAAAGAAATTGAGTGCAGATTTACTAGTTCATCTGCAAAGCAAGATGGATTGAACTATTATTTAGTTAAGGGGTATTCTTTGCAGCCTAAAACCTAATTGATTAAGAGTTCCTTAAAGAGCCTTGCAGAGGCTCTTTAAGAGAAAATGCCAATTGGTCCCATCCTCTAAAACTAAAACAAATACAAGCAAGAGGCTTCTCAACTCTAATGTGAAATAAAATCAGTGCCCTTAAAATTTTCTCATACTGCCAGATGCATTTAGTCACTGAAGCTTATTGTTTTTCATTGCTCTAAGAAGTGACTTAAGGTAAGGACCATTCCAGAAGATTATCTTAACACTAAATATTTTACTTTTATACATTTTAGGGGGAAATGACTATACTTATATTTAATTCTAATATAATGACTATATAACTATAATTCTAATTTTAATAATTGTAATTATTCTCTCTGTTTTTCTTTTAGAATTGGTCCCTAGGAAAGATCTTCTTCTAGAAAATGTACCATACTGTGATGCACCAACTCAGAAGCAATGAATTTTCTAGGATAAAACCAGACTTTGTACATTTTAACTATAAAATGTGTAACTGGCAAAAGTCCTAGAAATATTGAAAATGAATGAATTAAAGAGTAACATCATAATTTAATTCTACATTAAAAGGACATTGCTAAGAACTACAGAACATAGTTTTGGTTTTGGTTTTGGTTTTGATTTTTGTGGTGCTGGGGATTATACCCATGGCCTATTCATGCTGGGTAATTGCTCTGCCACTGAGCTATATCCTCAGCTCTATAGTTAAGTATTTTTAAAGGACATTAGAGAAGATAATTTATTTACATTGAAAATCAAATTTTATAAAGTAAAGCTTAGGGAGGTATATCATATTCACTTCTTTTAGACCTTTATAAGTGTTCTGCTCTTACCAAAGTTATTTGAATATTTAGTGTTTTGAAAAGTTGTAAGTTTTCCTCCCATGGAAAATTTAATTATTAGATGTAAATTATTAGATTAAATTAATGTTTAGTCTCCAAATTATTAAAATGGCCAAAGGAGTCACGGCTCTCCACAGAAGGTATTCTTTGTTTCCTGAATACTGGAATTATTTCTGAAGCTAATAAATAATTATAGCTTTTTTTTTAGACAATAGAGAGGTTCTCTGTGTCCTTATAAAGACATTTTTAATCAGTCTTCTAAAGACAGATGAGTAAAACCTCAAAATCACTTAGAGTCACTATGGAATAAAGAAACCCTAATTGTTTTAAAGAAATGGTGGGCTCAATCAAACTGGGTATGGCCTTACTAGAATTAGCTGTATTTAGACCACAGTTGACTTTACTGTGCAAATGTAACATATGGCTATATTCACTTTGCTTAAATCAATAAAACTTAAATGACTTTTCTTCTTCTACATATCCCATCCTTGGGATGAGACTGAAGAATCACAGAAGGCCCTAGCATTCTACCATCTAATGCTAGAAGCTATAAAATTGTATTAACATTCTTCTTGTTTCTCATTTATCTGTGTATCTTTATCGTTCCCTTTCTCAATGAATAGAGTGTTCTCTCCAATTTGATAGTGAACATTCTCCCATTTGATGATGATACAGTGTTTTACATTTTTTACAAGATTCTCAATGCAAGTTTATTTGTTAGCAAAACATTGGTGTATCTATACAGGATATAAAATGTCAAATTGGAAAACAAATTAAATTTTAGAAAATCAAAAAATTATTTAGATGTAGTACACTCAGTATTAAACCAGAGACTACCCTTTATGCATCTTAAATCTTTTTTTTGGTGCCAGAGATTAAACCCAAATGCCTAACCACTGAGCAACACCCCCCAGCCCTTTTTATATTTTATTTAGAGACAGGGTTTTGCAAAGTTGCTTAGGCCCTCACTAAGTTGCTAAGGCTGGTTTTGAATTTGCAATCTTCCTGACTCAGCCTCCCAAATCCCTGGGGGTGCAGGCATGCACCACCATACCTAGCGCATCCTAATACTTTTGAGGGGATAAGTTAGTAATCTGTGAAATGAATTATACACGTCAAAAGATTCATAAATTTTCATCTTTGTATTTAATTTTTACTATGCGAATGGAATTATATATATTATGTATAATATACTATAATTTTTCAGTACCATTAAACGTGTAGAAGCTCAAGACTTAAGAAATTGAATTATTTGGTTTCATTTTTTACTCACATTCATTTAAGTATCTCATCAAACTTTTTTATAAACTAGTCATCATTAGTAGTAAAGATTAATAATTGTATTTTTATTTTGTTAAAGCTTATTGCTTAGAGATTTTCTTTAAAATATGCATATAATAGAAATAGGTAGGTAGAATATTGTACTTTAATTCCTTAAGATTATAAAGTTCCTGTGAAGTATATCAACATATCAATAATAGGCTTGACTGGTACAGAATTTTGAAAGATTTGGCACCCTTTCCTTAGATAACATATGCATATTTCAAATAAATTTTAATGAGTTGTTTAATAATTTCATTAAATAACAAAATGGTTTATGAGTTCTTGGTCTGTTATAAAACAAAGGGCAAGAGTCAGGATTCTAGAGAGTATAAATTACTATACTTATGTAGTGTTTATTTTGTAAACCCTTTGTAAAAACTTTGAGAATGATTATCTAGGCACCTACCTTCTCTCTCTTTTTTTTTTTTTTTAAGGAGGAAGAGGGGGGGGGAGAGAGAGAATTTTTTTTTTTTTTTAATATTTATTTTTTAGTTTTCAGCAGACACAACATCTTTGTTTGTATGTGGTAGATCGAACCCGGGCCGCACACATGCCAGGCGAGAGCGCTTGAGCCACATCTCCAGCCCCCTAACCTTCTCTCTTAAACAATGCCAACATTTAACTAAATCTTTTTTATTTAGTTTTTTTGTTTTTAAAGTTTCTCATGTTCCCACTGGATTTTTGTGGCCCAAATATAATTTTCCACTTTGATTATTGAAACATAGTGATAATGGATCGTATGCATTCCAGTTGGAGATAACCTAGGCTCAGAGGCCCAGCAGGAGTTTGTAATCTTGAAATAAAAAAAGGTGGATGGCAGGAGAATCAGATTTGGCAAGCATAGGTAGCTAAGACTCCTTCACTGAAGATTAAAATTTAGTGAGAATATGGCAGGTAGTTTGTATAACATCTAATCCAGAACATTAAAATTAAGGGCTGAGTCACACTTCTCTTAAGTTGGTTCTCATTTTTCCTGTAGAAGGATCTTTCAATATCATTACAGTGTCCGGAAAGCACACAATTAAGAATAGGTGGCATTTCTATACTCATCAACAAGGCAAATAAGTTTTATGGAAAATAACTTAAATGCAAGTGTAAACAAATGGAAATTTCAAAAGTGGATAAATCAAAATTAATATAGCTTTATTTATCAGCTGTAACTAGAAATACAGTGGGAAAAAAAGATCTTATTTAAAATAGCAAACTATATACTTAGGAATAGACTGAAAAAAAAAAAAAAACTGTAACACTTAAAAATGAGAGATACTATGTTCCTAGTTGGGACAACTGAAAATTGTAAGGACAATTCTTTAAAATTTAATCTTGAAATCCCAACAGATTGATATGTCTACATAAAAATGTAAAACTTGTGTGTTCTGTGGAAGCCACTATAGACTGTAGAGAAAATTATAAGCCTCTTCTATAATGATTAAAGTAGTTAAGAAAAAAGGTGCTTCTAGTAATCCATTAGCAAAATGTAACTCAGTGCAAAACAGGAAAATTATATAAATAAATAGAAAACAAAAAATATTGTCTTACTGGGTGTGGTGGCACACACCTGTCATTCCAGCAGTGCTGGAAGCTGAGGCAGGAGGATTGCAAGTTCTAAGATAGCCTAAGCAACTTAGTGAGGCCCTAAGCAGCTCTGTTTCAAAACATAAAAAGGGCTGGGGATGTAGCTCAGTGGTTGAGCACCCCTGGGTTCAAAAACAAAACAAAAAAATATTTATATGGTCTCTAGTGAATGTAAATTTAAATACTTCCAAATTGTTACAACTTAAAGAAGAAATTATACTCTATATTTGTAAAGAGTAAAGTTTTGGAGGGGAAATGGGCACTATCTTCAAAGGCATGTTGATTAATTAGAGGGCCTTTTTGAAAGGGTTGACATCAAAACTTAAAATGTACATATTCAATTCATAAAGAGCTAAAAAAATACTAATGTATACTCGGATATATCATATATGGAAATTTCTGTATTAAAAAACAAAAAATGCTATCGTGGTTTTAAAATGCAAATGAGTGGTGTTATGTTCTATGTATTCTGCATCTTTTTTATTATATATTGTTCCAGAAACTTGTCTTTATTGTTGCATGAACAGCTCTTTCACTTTTACATTTTATTTATGATAAGAATAAACTAATCCAATGGATAATAATGTTTCCAGTTTTTTCATATTGCAAACCAATTTGAAAAAAAAAAAGCACACAAATTCTTACACCCATTGCAAAAGTTTGTCTGGATGTATACTAGGAAAGGAACTGTTGTGTCATAGGATATGTGTGTATTCAACTTTTCAAGAAATTTTTAAATCGTTCTTTAAAGTTATTGTGCCAGTTTACTCAACAATGAGAAGTCCCATTTCTCTACATTCTCACTGTATTTGTTATGACTTTTCTTGTTTTTATCAAGCTGGTGGATATGAAATGGTATATTAATTTGTATTTACTGGTTACTAGTGAGAAATAAATATATGTGTGTGTGTATATATATATATTGTTCTCACCAATATGGACTGACATCATCCAATCTATGGAAGACTGGAATAGACAAAAGGGTGTCAGAAGATTGGATTTGTTCTCTGCTTGAGCTAAGACATCTGTCTTCTGACATTGCTGCTCCCAGTTGCCAGGCTTTCAGGCTTAGGCCAGAACTTATACCATCAGACCCTTATTCTAAGGCTCTTGAACTCAAGACTTACACAACCATTTTTTCTATTCTCCAGTTTGCAGATGACAGATTGTAGGACTTCTTGGCCTTTGTAACTACACAAGCCAATTCCTATACTGAATCTCCTCATATCTATAGATGTAGATAGGTAAATGTAGATGTATGTCCTATTCTGTTTCTCTAGCAAGCCCATAATAATATAATGTTGAAGATGAGTAGATATGTGAAGAAAGATCAAGAGTTTAGTTTTGGGGCTGGGGTTGTAGCTCAGTGGTAGAGCACTTGTCTCATATGCGTGAGGCACTAGCATATGAGGCATCACATAAAATAAAGATATTGTGTCTAAACAAAAAGAGTTTAGTTTTGGATACGCATTAAGATGGCTATTAGACGTCCAAGTGCAAATGTTAAAAGGACATTAGATAAAATATTTAGAGTTCAATAAGTGATCTGGAGATAGAAATTTGGAGTCATGAACATAAACCAAGTACTTAAAATCGTAACGTTGGCAAGCGTCACCAAGAAACTGCTTATGGAGAAAAAAGCAAAGGGATGGATCTTGGGACACTTTGTGTTAACAGGTTAAGGAGTTAGGGAGCAACAACAGAAGAGACAGAAGTTTCCAGTAAGGTAGGATGAAACAAAGAAAATACAGAGGAAAAGATCAACAAACTTTGGAGCGTAAGGGATAAATCT